GACACTTTAATGCGTGATTAAAGCACAAGTGGAGGATTAGAGTAGATGGATGAGTTTAATACTGCAGTATATGTATAAACAGCAAAGCAAGCAATAAAAGCAGTGGTGGTGCCATGACTGGGCCCAGAGGGCCGAGGCCCACCCAATTTTATCATTAGTCGCCCCCAAAATTACTGCTCAGATTTACTTTAAATATTAAAATCTTAAGAATAAATAACCCAAAAAATAAATATGACATGCTTGACATTCAATTTGAAAATCCCAGTTTAGCCAATAACTATAACTGTGTTTGCTAAGCATCGCTAACTCCTGAGACACCAGTATACTCTCAAACACCCAGCTACAGCATTCAGCTCTGAGAATGGCAGTCTCATCACCCTGGTACAAAAACAATTCACACTCAGTTCACTACTGAGTTTAATTATAAGTCCTGCGGTGATACTATCAGCATTTTGGAGACAAATGTGGGTTATCCATATGTTAGCCTATATTTATGTTACTGTTGTTTTCATACAAGGTTCTGCAAAAAACACAGTCATTCAGAGCTAGGATAACAGAACAAATCAAATTACTTGCAAAAGTAATGTTATTATATTGGCAGAATGTAGCAATAGAAGCCCAAAGAGTGCTTCCCTGTGCTGGGTTTGAACCCTGCTCTCCCATTTGGAGAGTTACAAAACATGGCCAGTTACAAAATACACACGTGCACAGCTCAGAAACTACTCTATCCTGAGCTATTAGCCTGTAAAAATGCTTAAAATGTGATGACAGTTTAAAATGCAAAGATTGTGTGAAGCAGTAACGGCCTCTGTTACAACAAACCTGCAGCATCATAAGTATCTTTTTAAGAAGTTCAATATATATTTACTTGTTTTCAAAAAAAATTTACATATTTATAGAGTTACAAACGCAGTATTGATATCAATTTCTGTACAGCTGTAAGTAAAGTATGTTTCATAGTTTTGCTCACCATCTCTTTCAACAACAACAACAATAGTAGCACAGTGACAGCAGGAAACACATCCCAGGCTAATCCAAGAAGCTCACATGTAGACTTTTATATGTTGTTTTGTTGGGCTGAACTGTATTTGAATGTCCTCTAAAGCTAGAGATGCAATGTACAATTTAAAAAATCTTATACTTTAATGACTTACATGAACACTCCACTGTGTGAGCACCAAATTCCACCAACATGTCACAAATACACCAGATAATGCAACATACAACCAGTGCAAATCACACTAACGGAACCCCATTACCTGAACAACTAAGTCAGGCTTCTTTCAGTAACCACTCATTACTGCTGTATAGTCAGTTACAGTCTGAGTTAATGCTAGTCCAGGTTGTTATTGAGGGAGCGAACACTAGCGAGACAGATGGAAGGAACTACCAGTCTCTTGGGGTAAAGACAGCCTTTAGCCTTAATCTAGCCTTTAGCATATCAACCTGCTAGCTGTGTCCACTAGCCCCACCTGTGGTGCGCCTTCATTGGTGGTTGTACCACACAGCAGCGGGGTCTCGCGGTCTGTTGTTTCAACCAAGCTGGAAAAAACTCTGAAAACCATCACTGCCAGTGAAACAACATTTAGCACCATTTTTGTCCAGCCGGAGAAGCTGTGTGCTTATGTGTACACACCACAGGTTTATTTATATATTTTTCAATTCTGTTTACTATTTTGCATAATAAAGATATATATAGGTTAGTATTGTTATCAGTAATCTGTGTCAGCCAATACTTAAGGATTGGTAATGGTATCGCGGGGGAACACTGACAGTTTTAAGACTGGAGCTTATAAAACTCACTCACATTTCACAGGTTTTCTCCACAAGGGGGCGCCATTAGCAGCCGAGTAGCTTTTGAAGCTTAATAGCATATTTCTCATTTGCACAACTCTGCAACATAAAAATACTTTATTTAATTTTTATACACTTTTGTCATTTTGGCACTACTGGCACAGTTCCTGGAAGTAATGATTTCAAAACAATATCGAAAAATCAAATAAATGAGCATTTAGAAACAGCGTATCGAAATCATCCTCATTCTCTCTTCTGAGGGTCTCTCATTTTCCCAGCTTTTGTGTCACTGTCAATGATAAAAACTAGCCATCTGAGTTCAAGTGGGCAAGGTGGGGTGGGGCTTCTTCTATTGGAGTAAAGTTTGGTAGGGTGTGGCATATCTTATCAGAGTGAAGTGGGCAGAGTGGGGTGTGGCTTATTCTATTACAGTGATGTAGGTGGGCTAAGGTGCGGCTTATTCTGCCAGAATAAAGTGAGTAGGGTGGGGTGGGTCTTATTCTATTGGATTAAAGTGAGTGGGTGGGTGTGGCTTATTCTAACAAAGTGGGCAGGGGAGATGGGGCTTCTTCTATCAGAGTAAAGTGGGCAGGGTAGGTGGGGCTTATCATATCAGAGGAAAGTGGCCAGGGTTGGTGGGGTGGGGCTGATCCTATCAGAGTAAAGTGGGCAGGGTAGGTGGGGCTTATCATATCAGAGGAAAGTGGCCAGGGTTGGTGGGGTGGGGCTTCTACTATCAGAGTAAAGTGGGCAGGGTAGGTGGGGCTTAAAGGGGCTTATGCTTATAAAGTGGGCAGGGTGGGGTGGGACTTATACTTTTAGGGTAAAGTGGCCTGTGTGAGGTGGGGCTTATACTGTCAGAGTAAAGTGGGCAGGGTGGGGTGGGGCTTATACTATCAGAGTAAAGTGGGCAGGGTGGGGTGGGGCTTATCCTATCGGAGTAAAGTAGGCAGAGTGGGGTGGGGCTTCTCCTATCAGAGTAAAGTGGGCAGGGTAGGTGGGGCTTATCATATCAGAGGAAAGTGGCCAGGGTTGGTGGGGTGGGGCTTATCCTATCAGAGTAAAGTGGGCAGGGTGAGGTGGGGCTTCTCCTATCAGAGTAAAGTGGGCAGGGTGAGGTGGGGCTTCTCCTATCAGAGTAAAGTAGGCAGAGTGGGGTGGGGCTTATCCTATCAGAGTAAAGTGGACAGGGTGGGGTGGGGCTTATGCTATTAGTGGGCAGGGAGGGGTGTGGCTTATACTATTGGTGGGCAGGGCAGGGCGGGGCTTATACTATTAGTGGGCAGGGTGAGGTGGGGTGAAAGTAAATTAACACATGATCTACAGAGAACACACTTCTGCACAGCTTTAATACACAGTTACTGCTTAATTGCTGCATTTAACAACACATGTAATTGCTTAGATTGTGGTGTTCAAACTGTTGCACACAGCTCTGTAATTCACTGTCTCCACAGTGATTTATAAAGACAGAACACACACTCTGAATCATATAAATCAGTATTAGTTCTGGCCTCGTGCACAGAAACAGCTTTCATTTCAGTTCAGTAATGGATGCACTGATTCATTTCATTAATCAATCATACCTCATCGCTCATCAGCGAAAAGCTCAGAAGAAAAGCCATGAAATCCAGAAGCCTCTGCACTGACGCTGTTACATCTGAGCCACCCACAAATCTGCGCTGCGTACGCTCCACAATCAAACCTCAGTCACTGCACTTCTACCAATTTAGTAGGGCTGCAGTCAAGACCACCTTCGTCGAGTCTAAGACAAGCCCAAGACCATGACTAGTAGAGATGGAGTCAAGACCAAGTCTAAAGTGGGCTGAGACCAAGCCAAGGCCGAGACTCCAAAAAAGGAATTGTTTTAATTAATTCTCAAGGCTGTACAGCTTTCTGAATTATTATGGAATCATCTACAGCTTATTAAAAAGTCTTAATTTTCACAGCTTCCAGCAAATTGTTTGAAACCACTAGAATATTAGCAACAAATTAAAGTCATTTTATATGTGTCTGCAACAAACACAGTTATAAATTGTTAAAAAACGTGATGTAAATTACAGCTGGAGGTAAGGAGTTCTGTGATTAGTTATGCGGCTCATTTGCATATATCAATATCATGATAAGGAAGCTAATACATCACACAGCTCATAAACATTCATTAAAGCCTGAACAGCATTTGGCAAGAAACAGCGACATGTTTAGGGATCAGCGTGAGGCAACTTGGCACAGGAGGGTGCGTCAGCAGAGTGAGCGGTTTCTTATGTCTATGATGAAAAACCCATAAAAAAAAACCCATAAAAAATGTATTTATTAAATATTTTTGCAGTGGACAGTGGATAATAAGTTTGGAACGCATTTTGGAATGAAATATCATTTATGGCCATTTATTTTCCCATGTATTTTCCCATATATTTCCATTCCCATAAATATTATCGCATATTTTCCCATTCCTACGCATTATATCCCAGGCATTTTCCCATTTATTTCCATGCTCATGCATTTTATCTAATGCATTTCCCCACACATTCCATGCTCTTGTATTTTAGCCCAGGTATTTCCCCTAATATTGTGATTTCCCCATATACTTCCATGCCCAAGTATTTTATCCCAAGTATTTCCCCCTACATTGTGATTGCCATATATTTTATTCCATGCATTTTTCAATACATTTTCATGCCCATCTACTTCATCCCAGGTATTCCCCCTACATTGTGATGGCCATATATTTTATTCCTACATTTTCCCATATATTTCCATGCCCATGTATTTTATCCTGTTTACTTCCATACCCATGTACTTTCTCCCTTCTATTTCCCCATGATTTTCCTTGCTCATGTATTTTCAAGTCTTTTCATATCCATATACATCCCCTTTGAATTTTCCCATCCATTCCCAAGCTCATGTTTTTATCCCATCCATTCCCAAGCTCATGTATTTTCCCATCCATTCCCAAGCTCATGTTTTTATCCGATCCACTCCCAAGCTCATGTATTTTTCCCATCCATCCCCAAGCTCATGGTTTATCCCATGTTTTTTTCTCATGACTTTCCTTGTGCATGTATTTTATCCCTTGCATGGAAATTCCCATGCATTTCCAAGCCCCTTTACGTTCCCCCTTGTATTTTCCCGTCGATTTCCATGCCCATATATTTCTCCCTATGCATTTTCCAATGTATTTGGGGAAAAAACAACTTTTGTGCGCTCACCTGTCCACGGCTATGGCCGTCATGGAGCAGATGCTGGCGAAGACGGCGGCGATGGGGAAGAAGTTGTGAAAGCGGCAATAGACGAGGCCGAAGTACCACTCGTTGTGCGCCGCGTACACGAAGTTGACCACCGTGTTGAACGCAGACATGCTGGCCTCGGCGAACGCCAGGTTCACGAGGAAGAAGTTGGTGACGGTCCTCATGCGCCTGTGCGCCAGGATGATCCACACCACGGTCACGTTGCCCACCACGGACACCAGCACTATAGCCGAGTAGGCTACAGCCCAGAGCGCGATGCGCCACGGGGGCTGCACGAACTGGTTCCAGTACCCGTCCGTCCCGTTCGGTTCGGGCGTGCTCCAGTTCCACGCCGAAGCCTCCGTGGACGTGTAGAGGGGGATCCATTTCGAGCCAAACTCAAAGTCAGAATGCAGCGAAAAAAGTCCTCTAGTCGGTTTTTCAGCGCTTAATCGACCATGTTCGTGTCGATTAATCGACTGAAAACGGCGCTCACCGGTTTTTGGAGAGCTTCCGTGGCACAGTGCGAGCGCAGAGTGAAGAGAGAGCGCGGTGCGACTGGGAGCTGCTTCCCCGGCGCGCGCGCGCACACACACGCACACCTCCCCACCCCCTTTTCAGCGCGTGCCTCGCGTCTCCACGTTGCCTCTCCTCCCTTTGCTGCCCAATTTTAGCTCCTGGCTGCCTGCAGCATGCGCGTGTCCCTTCTCAGTGTCAACACACATGCATGCACGCGCGCACATTCCCTCCTCGTCTTTTCACCGCTATCCAAGCGCGTGGTGCGCTCGAGCGCGCGGGAAGAACTTCAGAAAACCAATAGCCCCACGAGAAAATCTGATATATGGCCATATGTGTACATAAATTTAAGACTGGGAAAAATATTTTGAAAGAGTAGCGATGGCTGAGTACTAAATACGCTGTGCTAAATGTATTCAGTAATGTATTCTGGTAAATAGATAAAAAGTTACATATTCAGAATACATTTAGAAAACATCCTGGTAAAAAGCACATGGGAAAAACCTTTATTTATTTATTTATTTATTTAGACTGTTCCGCTTTGTTACTGCTCGGCAGTTTTTCCATGTAATTATTCTCTTAATACATTTCATGAAAAATAAATAAAAATAAATTCATTTAAATGAGGTTCTGAAAATTATGATTTTTTTTTTCTTATCACACAATCCCACAATCCCGCGAGCAGGAGTCCAGTACAACACCAAATCTAAATTTATCCCTCGTAATCATGTGACACTGAGATTAATAACTGATCACCACATTGATTTATCAGTCTACTCAGGCTTTAGCAGAGCTCAGTAACACTGAGATTAATAACTGATCACATTGATTGATCAGTCTACTCAGGCTTTAGCAGAGCTCAGTAACACTGAGATTAATAACTGATCACATTGATTGATCAGTCTACTCAGGCTTTAGCAGAGCTCAGTAACACTGAGATTAATAACTGATCACCACATTGATTTATCAGTCTACTCAGGCTTTAGCGGAGACTGAAGTGTTTGTAAAGACATTGTTAATTAGGGCCTCTATAGAATTTGTCCAACACATGTTTACTACATGCTGTGCACTGATTCTAAAATAGTTTATAAACAAGCATTGATGGTGTTTCTTTTGAAGATTGCATTTTTTTTTGTTTGTTTGTTTTATTTAGTGGGTAGATATTCTCCTAAAAATGTAAAAAATATTCTGAATACTGCCTTTTGTAAATTGTAACCTAGACTAAATACAGATACCTATATAATATACATATTATTGATTTCAAATTATATGTTCATATACGTTATGTACATATGTATAAGTATCGAATATTGCACATGTATGCATGTCTAATAGTTGGATGAACACTTATATGTATAATATATTGATCACAAATATACTCTGTGTTTGATACACGGATCATTTAAAATAAAAAATCTGAAATGAAACACACCAGCAACATACATCCAATGAAAACCCTTATATGATATAACATGAAGCTAGCATATATGAGTAATATATACCATCCATATATGATTCAATGTAATGCAGTGTTAATGCAGTTTATTGTATTAATAATGGAATGATGTACATTATGTTATTTGATTTAAGTCAAATAAATGCTTCACACTGTTAGAAATGAAAGTTCTGTGCAGGTACATTTTTTGTTCATCAAGGTACAAACAATATAAATGTTTCCTCAAAGGTACAATAGTGGTTTTAAGGTCTAATTGTGAACCTTAAATATGTTTTTCCAGGTGAAAAGTACATATTTGTACCTTTTCATAACCTAATGTTTATAAACAGAACAATAAAATAAAAAGCCTGGAGACGAGACGGGTGTGTAGAGTCAATACAACTTAGAAAATATTATGTCAGTGGATTATGGTACAGTTATGTTCCCTGACTAAAGGTACTGAGATGTAACCTTGAGGATCCCAGCCCAGTGACAAGAGGGGCACTGCGACAGTTTAGTACCTTCATTTCTGAGAGTGTATTTTTTATGCATGTCATAACTGTAAACTGACTGCTTCATTTTCTCTTCCCGTCTGCATCATAAATGCCAGCAGTGATCAATATTAGTGTTTGAACAGTCGTACAGACACATCATGTTAGTTCATGTGTTTGCTCACTGGCTCCCTCTAGTGATGTTTTGCGATGGACTCCACTGTTTTAGTGCACCTGCAGTGTATCACAGTCCATGTACACATACGACCACAAACAGTCATTAAGTACAAGTTATCCATTTTTCAGGAACAGGAAAAAGCAGAAAACATGGTCACTGTCAAAATATAATCTAAATATAAATGTCTAAATATAGACATGTCTAAATATAATGTATATTTTTTCAGTATTTATTGCATACACTCTTTCCCTCCAAAGTTCAGTCTTAGAAGTCGGTTAGCATTTTAGCATTTGGTTAGTATTTTTAGCATTTTATGCTTCTAATGATCCAAGTAATCCCACACACATTCGGTAATGTTGAGGTCTGGACTCTGGGATGGTCAGTCTGTGGTTTGCCATGTTGCTTGGGTAACACTTCACTTAAAACCTGATAGATATAACCATGCCATAAATGTGTCATGGCAGATGTTATCTAATGTTGTGAGTCATTACCAACTCTGTAATTGTCATGACAGACGTAATAACGGTTGATGTAATGACGGCTAACTGAGTACACTAAGTTGGTTTATGCTGGTAGGGTGCTGGTTTAGCTGCTCACCCAACCTAGTCATGCTGGTTGACAAGCATACCAGTTTTCAAAGCTGGTTTTTCTAGCATAGTTAGCAAAAATTAGCATGTGACATGTCATCAAATATTATGGCATCTGTCATGTAATGATAATACAACACCGTTATATTACTGAATCCAAATCTGCCATGATAACGCATGCATAGCATTAACCTACACGTTTAAACTAAAGAGAGCATATTAAATATGTTAGCACATTAGCAAATATTGTTAGCATATACATTTAACATGGCAAAAGCAAGTGTTGCAAGTGTTAATGTAGAGTCAAGATCTTTTTTATTTGGACTGTTTGCCAATGATGCTACTGCATTATAATGTACATTGTATTATAACACATATCAGTACATTAAACATGTGTCTATTTTCATACATTGCAAACATTTATGACAAATTCTTAACAGTTCTTTAGCATTGTTGTCAAATGTACGGAACATGCTGTGGTACATTGTTCTAAATTTTTTATTACATGTTTATGATTTCTAATTATTTTTTTATTTTTTTATATATATGTGTTTATGTTTTGCTTTCTCTCTTCTGCTCTTTGGTTTTATTAGTTTTATTGTTTGTTTAGGTGTATTGTATGTGGGCAGAAGTAGGTAGAGTAGCTTAAACCCATTTTTTAGCTAATAATGACTAGCAAAAACAACTTCATTTAAAAAGTATTAGCTCCAAAACTCCTTTATAAAAGCACAATGGAATGTCTTAGTACATCCAACATCTATTAGCATAAAAACCAAAGTTTGTTGGGTTCTGTTCTTCTCGTTTTTGGGAGCCTTTTGGTCTGAAATAAAAAGCAAACACTCCTGAGAGGTGTTAGCATTAGCAAGACAGAATGAAGCAGTTACTGAAGCCCCAGAAAAGAAGGGATTAGGAGCAAAATATGAAAAAAACTGAGGTAAAAGTGGCATATTTTCCTCAGAAATATACTTGAGTAAAAGTTTTTTGAACATACCTAAAACATAAACCTAGCAAAATTGAACTGAAGTATGTGGAAATTAGCAAACAAAGCTAGTTACTGGCCATTTCCAGGTCTGCAACAGTAAGATTTCTGTTCTTCTTACATGCTAAATTGTGTCATTTGTTCAAAGATAAATGTTTTCTCATCCTCTGGTATGTCAGAATTGATTTTCCTTCATTTGGCTGCTCTCTCTCTCATGGCCTGCCAATATGAGGAAGTGATTGATGTTGCTGTCTAGCATTCGCAGTTGAAATTTGATTGATGTTTGCCTGTGCAGCTAATGCGGAATGCTAATCAGCTCGCATAGTTCTTAAAGGAATGGTTCAGTCAAAAGGCTAATCTTACTAAATGAAAACAAATAGTCTTCGGTTAGCATTACACAAATTAAATGATGCTAATTAGTGGCTGCTAACCTCCATCCATTGTTAGCCACATTAGCTCTACTGGATTAAGAAAAATGCTAAAATGATTACAATTTAATAAAAAAAATGCATTAGCATGCAATGATTAGCATTATACAAATTCAGTGATGCTAATTACTAGCTACCAACTTCCATTCAGTGTTAGCTACATTAGCATTGCTTTAATGTGAGGCAACCTTTCATTAGTATGTTGTAGTGCATCTGTACTGCATATAAAGTGAGGAAGTCATCCTGCTTTTCAAGTCAGGATCAATATGTGGCGCAAAGAAACAGAAAGATTGACTGTCCAAGTCATGGATAACATCTTGAGCAGCCACTGAAGAGGGCAAGGGGGGGATTTCTTTTGGATGCAGATGGATTCAGAGCAGCATTAGCTGGATTGCAGATTCTTCCATGAATCTCCAAGCAGCAATCAAATGGATTGATTAATGCCGTTTCACGGACACTAACGTGTCGCTAGTAATCTCTTTATATCCCTTTTCACAAACTTCTGCCTTGTGCTTATATCAAACTAATTACCTTGTTCTTATATCTAATACCTTGTTCAAGATAATTAGAAGAGCCCAGATCTTTAACGTTGGT